AATCTTCTTTTCACATCCATTTTAGTCAATGTTTATCTGAGATTCTTAATAAATCTGTAATAATGTGATTCTGGTCCCCCCCCCCCCCCCCCAGTTCAGGACCAGTGGACTGAGTACATCACACTCTGTGGCCTGAGAACGCATTCCCAGCTCTCCCAGTCGTTTGTCACAGAGCTCATCTATGTTCACAGCAAGACCCTCATTGCTGATGACCGCTGCTATATCATTGGTGAGTCACCTTGAGTCATCATAGAGCTCTATGACAAAATAGCGAATCTCCTTCCACAAGTAGCGTATTTTAATGTATTCTAGGCTTTTAATGATGCTATGAAATTACAGTGTATTCTAATCAGTACATTTTAGCTGTAATTTCATAGCACCATTCAAAACAAATATAACCACGGTCAAATGCAAGTGAACAAATATATAGACATTTATCTGCAATAATAATGAATAATCAAGAGGATGACATTTGAAAGTGTAATCTCCTTAAGTAGGGTGTACCACAGCACAGGGGCTTGGGTTTAGCAAGACTGAGTAATGAAGGACAGTGTACAGCATGAATATTGAAAAGCTGCACAAATAATAAGAATCTTATTTTGAGATTCTGTCATTAATTTCAAGGTTCAAGATTAAATTATTTATCATCCTCCAACACAGGGTTTTATAACAACATGCAAGCTGATACACACAAAACAAAGATGATATATATGGATGAATAGATATATAATAAAAATAAACATTTTATGGTGGAGTGTGGAGAATTAAGTAAGTATTAAGAATAAATAGCTATTTCATAAAAGCAAACCCCATCTTTGATACTTATTATGGTTGTGATACAGGCCCATTCTTCAGCAGTTCTACACTGTTGTGCACTTACTTCACAACTGGCCATGGGCATATTTCGTCACATAGAGTAAACGTAACCTCTCATTTTAAATCCTTAATCCTAGCTCAGTACTGAATGTACTGAAAAGCAAAGCAGCATTCATTCTGAAAAATACATCTGATATCACTGGTTATTTCATTCTGATAGTTGCTTTATTTATTAAAAACTGTTTTGACAAGAATGATGACTTTGAAAAGACAGATTGTGAACACTTGTACTTTCCACATGTGTTCCAGGATCAGCCAACATCAATGACCGCAGCATGCTGGGCTGTAGAGACAGCGAGCTGGCAGTGTTTGTGGAAGATGAAGAGCGGGTCCCATCCGTCATGGGAGGGGAGGAGTACCAGGCAGGACCCCTCACACTCGCTCTGCGCAAAGAGTGTTTCAGGTCAGGACAAAATATGCAACTCCTGAAATGACGTTCTCTTAATGTATGACCATGATTGGTTACTACAGATGGTTTTCTATGTAATGGGAAGTGTCAGCTACTAAATCCTAACTGGCAACAAGTGAGAAACCTTTGTGTTGTTTGAATGCGCTTGTTATTTATTTTTGCTTCCAGTGTTCTTGTTGGAGCTTCTTCGGACCCCAGTATCAATATTGATGATCCAATCAGTGATCATTTCTTCTTCTTGGCCTGGAATGCTGCTGCTGAACAGAATTCTATCATTTATGATAAGGTAATAAGACGATCCTATCCTAAATCAGGACATTTAAGACCTTTTTACTCCAACGTGCAGTTTTCTTATCTCTCCTTTGTTGTTGTGGGCTTTGTCTGTGCTATGGCCCTGCTGTGATACAGGTCTTTAAATGTCTGCCCTACAACACTGTCCACAACATGCGAGAGCTGAAGGACTACTCCAGCGAGGAACGCCTCTGCGACACAGACCCTGAGCAGGCCAGAGAGGAGCTGAAAGCTGTCCGAGGGCTGCTGGTCCACTACCCCCTGAAGTTCCTGTGTGAGGAAAACCTGCTGCCCCCACTGGGCACTAAGGAAGGCATGGCTCCTATAGGGCTGTGGACATAACCACAGCTCAGCCCAGATCAGACCACTACATAACGGCAACAACGACTGCTGCGCCACATTCTCCTCCTCCTTGTAGTTCCAGCTAATGTTCAGAACAGTACACTAAAGTAGTTACAGCACTGGCACTTCCATGGTGAGGAGAAAACATTACTTTAGCACAATTTACTTGTTCATCATTGATGTTTTTTTATTGTATCGTATTTTTGAATGATGATGGGCTCGTGTGGACATAACCACTGAAATCTACCGGCCAGGTTGTTCATGATGACAGTGTCTGCAGAACACATAAATGAATGTACGAGTTACGAGAGGATTGCAAGGTTGTATTGGAAATCAAGCATCTCACATGATCTGGGAACATAGTGTACAGTTATTGGTGCAAGGTTTTTGGGTGGGTGGGTGGCTCTCTCTCTTTCTCTCTCACGCCTCACTCTCCCTCTCTCCCTCTGAGGCTTCACCTCTCACTGCAGTGCCAGCAAATCTGTCAGAACATTTGTGGTTGTTATGGTGACGGATATAAAGAGATGACTGGATTGTAGCTGAAATAAAGACTGGATAGAGCAGAAAAGGGACAGTACTGATAAGAGGGATAACTTACTAAATCAGGATGGCATATCGGAAAATAGAAGCTAACATGTTGAGCGAGGTCTGACGGAAGCAAAGTCATTTTAATAGTTTTTGGATAAATGATCAGGTGGGAAAACTGTGGGAGGGGAAGGAGGACAAGATAATTAAAGGGTGTTGATTTACCGTTAATTGTTGCTTTTTTTTATAGTTACCATGACAATCAAGTGAATTATTTTTTAACCATGTTGTCAGCAGTCGAGAACAGAACATTCCACTATCCGCTTGGCTTTGAGAAAGCAGAGACACGGATAGTTTGACCATTGCATTTCATTTTTTAGGTATTTCCATATTGGTTTCACAGTTCTGTGTCCTGGTGCCATAAAATGTCTTGCCTATCTACCCAATATTAATTCATTACATTTAGCCATAACACTGTAACTGTAAGTGACATAATGTGGCTTCCATTCATGCTGCTGGAGCATTATCAAGTCATATTTCTAATCTTAAGCTAACTCCTAACTAACTGCTAACTCCCTTTACTGAGCCATGAGGAATTGTGTGAGTACTATAGAGCAATCTGGACAAGTCTGGCATTGGACAGATACGTAGCATCAGTGGTGAATGTAGACAGGCAACTACTGATTGGGAAAATATGTAATAATTCAACAGATCACACTGTAGATGCTGCGATCTTCATGTAGAAAAACAGGACTAAGTATGTTGTTATTTTTATGCAGTGGGGTTTGGTGTTTGAATATAAGGAAGTTCTGTAATCTGAGATTGAACAGATTTGTATGTGTTTGAGGGTTTCTAATCACACAATCTTGTGTGGCACACAGTCTTGCCAAGTTTTACCAGTGCCTCTGTAAAGCATCATATCACAGTTTTTAGAGTTTTAGAGAACAACCAGTAGACAATAGGCAGCATATGGAGCTTGTGAATAGCCTTTCTTGGCCTCCCAGTGATGCATCTATGTCAACAGATGACTTTGAGTGATGCATTGTACATGACATTACCATAATCCAGTTCATAATTCCCAAAAGTTAAACCTTGATGTACCTGTGACAGAGCCAGTGAATTTGTACAGACTTGTTTCTTGAGCTTTTCCAGACATGCCCACAAGTCAACAACACTACTGAAGTGGTTTCAGTGCAGACTTGTCTGTGAATGTGACAGATGACAAGAGTCCCACGTGAACGCGGCCTTGCTCTGCGTGAGGCACCTTGTACGGAGGACCTGGTAAAACCATCTGTGTTGGTGCACTGCCGTCGTCATAACTATTCACACTTTTTCTTTAGGAGATATTAAAGCCACTATGAGCCCCTGCACGCTAGAAGCTGGGTATTTTCTATCTATTCTTATACTGCACAAAATGTCTGCCTTGAGTGATATTCTTTGTTTGAAAATTACACAGAAATGTCTGATGTGCTGAGAAGTGACCTTATACTGTTTCTATCATGAATTATGTTTTTATTGGGCTAATAGCCGGCATTACCAATACATTTTTTTGTATATAATACAAATATAAACTTGTATTTTTAACTGCCTGTTATCCCAAACAGGCAGATGTGTAATCTTGAGATCTAGGTCATTACCTTAAAGTTGCCGATGTATAGGTTACTAACACTCAGGGGTAGAGATAGTAAATATTCTTACTTAATTGCTTCAGTACAGTTATGAACAACTGTAAGGCATGTTACTTTTCTTGTTTTTTTTATAGAGTTTCTGAGTATCTATTTTACTTTGATTTAAAAATTGTTATTCAAATCAAAAACTTCCCATGTACTGTTTTTATATTTGAATATAGTCAATTGTGTACTTTTAATAAATGTAGGTACATTTATAAACATATACAAAGATAATGTAATATCTAAATAAGAAAATAAGGATATGTTGGCATATCTATTATTATCTATTTTCTATTATTTATGCCAGACACAACCAAAAGCTACTGTTATCACCTAGCGACATTGGCGATATTGGTGGTGAGGTTAATATCCTTTGCTGTCTGTATATGCTTAGATCAAATGGCTTGTTTTCTTAGTACTCTTAGTACAATAGAGACTGACATGTTAAACAGGAAATGGGCACAATTTAACACATATTAAATAAAATTAATTTTCTATGTGAATTTTGCAATGTTCAATAAAACACCAATGTAACCCCCACATTACTGCATAATAATAGCGTCAGTTTATTGTTTTTAATGACATACCAGATTGTTGTCTTGAGCTTTGGAAGTGAATCATACATTATTGACAAGCATTATGATCTGTTGAAGATAAGGTAGGCCCGCCTTAATTTAACTAATTTATGGGATGTGTTCACCATGTAGGTCAATGCAGGTAAATGCAGGTATACAGGTATGTCAGTGGATGACCTCAGCTGTGCTGCTCAGAGCAGACAGAGGCAGTTGCGCAGGTTGAGGTCCACTGTAATTTTTTAGGTAATTTGTCCCTGATGAAGCACCGTAGCGATCCAAGAGGCGAAAACACTTGAGGAGTGTTATGTGCAGCCAATCGTCAGTACAACCCCGCAAGACTACAACAAGGCTGGGAGTGGGAGGGACGACTTGGGAAGCAAAACATGGCGAAATAACAAGTTTGGCTGTTAGCTGCAGTTTGCAATTGCACCGTATCTGTAGTGTTGGACTACAACTTCAAGTTCCTAAAAACTGGACGCTGGAGAACGACAGCAACGTTTAACTTTAAATAGTCGAGGGCCCCAGCTTACAAGTATTACGGTGGCTGGCGAGAACAGTGCCTGCCTGTCTGCCTGTGTTTTCCCCGGAAGGTTGGCAGTGCTAGGCGCGACTGTCAACACAGAAAATGGATGAAGACGGAAAGTTTATTCTGCAAATGACTATTTAACCTGCTAGCTTAGCTACGGTAGCTACCCCGTTAACTATCGATTGATCGCGCGCACCTGACACGGTATTCACATTGCCGCGCGCTCCGGTCGAAATTTGAGGAATTAAGTCGTTTTAACTTCTTTGACAACTGCAGTCGTAAAGAACCGTATTTCAAACGGGGCCTGTATTGTCATTTTCCGCCCTTATCGCACAGTATTATCCCGAGAAGTCCTCTATTTAAGGCAAATAATGAGAGTGTGACGGGTGGTTCTGGTGCGGTGCGGACGGACCCGGACGCCATCACATCAGACGTCGCGTTCTCCTTAAAAACAACCATTTCGTTGCAACGCCGTAAATGTTATTTTATACTTTATCAGCGTAACAACGTAACACCAGACATATGTGGTAGTTTCCCCCCGCGGCACGGATCATTTTATCACGATTAACAATTGCTGGGATGTTGTACAGCAGCGAAGACGCGGAGTCTTGTCAAAATGAACGCAGCAAGGTGTTCAACAACAGTGGAGGTGCAGCGCATTGAAAACCTGCCAGTTGTTGAGACGGTCCCGATGGCCGGCTAACGGTGACGTTAACAGTTTGTAGAAATCTTTTATTTTGAGTTGAATGTGTTTTGGTCGGATATCGCGACCGGTATTCCTGTAAAACAACTGCGGATAACATCGCTCTCGGCCAGAGTTGACGTGAGCTAGCCAGCTGGGTGCGTCTGTGGCAGCTCTATCTGCGGTGTGTTTGCTAATTTAAGTGCTACCGTGTTGTTCCGCAACAGTTTCAGCATATTAGACGCCCCGCTAGCTCTATTTTCCCTGTAGGTAAACCATTTAAAGCTCGTTTCAGCTGCCACTTGCACCCCCCTCCTCCTCCCCAAGTACTTCTCGTTAAATAAGTGGCTAACTTGTTAGCTACCGTTCTAAGTTTCACCAGCTATGTCTGAAAACGCCCCCACACGAAGCCTGGATGACATCGACCTCGCAGCTCTGAGGGTGAGTATTGTTATTACAAGATAAGTGTGCTGCACTTTATTCATGTAGAAATATGGCAGACAGTCTCGTTAGGTGTTATGTCATATGAGCTGAAGTGTCGGTTTGCCTCTCTGACACAAGCACGACCATTTAACACCCACGCAACAAAGTTAAGGTGGGATAAACATCCCTTGGTCTGGTGTTTCTAGGCATCTGTTCCCGTCAAAAATATATTCTGATTTATCCACCTAATAAAGAGCCAACCCCTCCCAGCCCGGACAACTTTTCGTGATTAGTGTGTTAATAGCAAAAAAATAAACCATACAATCATGGCTGCTCCTGTCTCCGGGGCTATAACACAAAACACCTGATACACGTTGTTGTGTAGTTATTTTTTCATCATATGCATGAGCCTTGATGGGCGTTTTCATCGTTTAATGTGTTGGCTGTTGTAATATTTTCAAACACCAGTTATTAACTCAATTTCAATGCACAGACACCATCTCTTTTATTTGAATAATTATTTTGGAGGTGCTTTTTCATATGGGGGCCTGACAGTCCGTTAAATAGCCGATCCTCTAACCATACCCTCGTGAATTTTGGATGTGGTCTTTTCCGTTTCATTTAGTTTTAGTTTGCATTACTGAAACAAAAAACAACATGTCAGACTTTGCAGGGATAGAACAGTAAGGTACTGAAATAACTTTCCTGGTGTTTTCAGTGGTCCACCTTGAAAGCCCCCGGTTATAAAAATCTACCTGGCTTATTCGTCCACCCTCCTCTAAAATTGCAACCACCAGGGCAAGAAATAAAGTCAAATGGAAAAAAACAAACCTGCTCACCACTATTCCCATCTGATGAAAAAGGGTACAGTTTCTGAATTATGACCACAGCCTTGATGCTCCCTTTTGATCTGTCAACCATCTCAAAGGCAGGTGTCAAAAATATACAGTATAATTGTTTGGTGCTGTCAGTCCCCTTAAGACTGACCAGAATTAGCATTACAAAGAAATATTTTATGCACTCAGTCACTGCTTTTTTGAAAAGAGTACAGCCCCGTCTCTCCCACTCAGGTACAGCTTTAAACATAACCATAGTTTTGTACTTTTACATTAGCTGGCCTTTTAAAATCTATTGTCTTGCGTTAAATTGACCAAAAGGTTGCACAAAATCTAACAAATCTAATGTAGGAACTGAGAACATGAGGTCCTGATGCCAGTGTGAAAACTATGAATTTCCTCTTGGTGATTAGTCCATGGAAAAAGAAATCTGCATCACCAAAATAAATATTGTTGAGGAAATCACAGGTAAAAAATGTGCTGTTGAAATTAAAAACATATCAGAACATACAAGCCAAAACAAATAGGCAAGACGGAGTCAAATTCCCTGTGCCCTCGGACAAACATGAAGAAAGCTCTGCAGCACTTTAGTGTAGCTTTAACAGATTTATGGGGCTTAACAGGAGATCAGGGGTAGCTTATCCAACTCCTTGTTGGTTGTGTCTGTGTTACCTCTTGTGCTACACTAGCAACTTTCTGATTTGTCAAGGCGCTGACCAAGTAGTTGTTGTTGTTGTTGTTGTTGGAAAGTGAAATTACTGTTGAGTTTTGAACAGCGTTAATGAAATTGCTTTACCTCCATAGTACTGAGGTGGCAGAAGTTTCAATGCGTAAACTTGCATGTCCAGCTACCACTAGAAATAAGTGTGCAACTGTTTTTGTGATTTAGGCGAACAGGCCATATAAAGGTACCTCATGGAGTTGACTTTCAACAAAAGCTATGTTTATATTCAGTGTTACTAGAATACATTGTGTGTTCAATGTATGTCCTTGTGTATGTATGGCTTTTTTTTTTTTGTATTTTAAATCCAGCATTGTTTACTGGCTAGCAGTCTTCTCCTTGTCTTTGTTGTCGCATTGCAACGTATCTTGGGTGTTACCGCCACCTGTTGATCAGTGGAATGATGTTCAACCATTGTCCTGCGTCACCCTCTTGTGCGTGTGCCACGACATAAACAAAATGGGGACCTACTCTTAAAGAAAAACTACTCCCCACTAGTAGGGGACAAACACTCCTCAGGGAACCTTTAAGTGGCTCAATCAAAGCATTTTTCAAGTTTGCTACAGAGTACAGAAGGACTCCAGCATTACATAACAACAGTCCGCTGATAACACAAATGTGTTGTGCAGAACCACTTTATTCCAATGCCAGTAGATTTAATAAAATCAAGTAACCTGCACAGATGTGTTGATTTTATGTAGTGGTAGATTTAGGTTTTTCTAATGGCCAATGTCGATATCAAAAGAGAGGAAAGTTTTGCATATTATTTCATGCACATTACGATCAAATATACTTGTTTATCTTAGCCAGTAACATGTTATTGTAGATTAGATTTGTATTAATTAAATAGAAAAATACATTAGGTTTGTTGTAGACTTCAGAATGTGACAAACAGAACGTGGTATTTAAGGGAGAGCGGGGTACAGTATGTTGAAAGCAACGTCATTCAACTGCATTATTCTATACTTTATACCTTAATGTATATTTAATGCCAGCAGCCACACTGACAAGGCTGTCTGCAGACATTTGTTGTGTATCGGCCTCATGAGCACAGACATTGTACCATAAATTGTATCTCATAATGCCAGATAATTGTCCTGATGACTCAGCTGACCAGTTTACCTATGATTACAGGTGGTATAACAAAATAAGACAACAAAAAGTGACAAGATCATACTACAACAAATATGTCTTCTGAATTTCACCAGGAGTGACTTCAGTGGTTTATTTTTCAAACAGAAACTTTGAGAGTGTGATGAGAACATTGGATGCTGATTAGCAAGGAACTCAGCCCCCTGGAAATTAAACTCATGAGAAATTTAGTCTTGTGATTTTATTATGTTGCAGCGAAACAGTCTCTTTCACCTTACAAAGCTTTATTGTAAACACCAGTAAAAGTTACACATCGGATATCAAATGGTTGTTAACCTTTTCCTCCATGTCAGCTTTAACATTGTGATTATGAATTCACAATGTTATCCATTAAAGAAAGCAATTAGTTTAAAAAACCCCACTGTTAAAATCCAGATGGTTGTGAATATTCTCCAACATTTGATGGTACAATTTTAGATTTGGTTCAGTTAGCCAACAGAACATTTGTTTTTGTTTACTGACACCAGGCTCATAATGGTACCATAATCCATCAATGGCAGTCTTGATTACTTAAAAAATGTAAATGTTGTTCATCCCTAACTAAACAAAATGACATTCTGTTAGGATTAGTTTGTGAAATTTAAAAGACATTTCTTCCAACATTAAGTTTTATTAAAAGGCTCTGCGTAGCTCAAAACTTAATTATTTAGGGAGTCATTTAAAAACAATTAAGGTCAACTAGAAAATGATTATCTGATGATATTCTGGAAATACAATGTTAAAGTTGTGATTTGAACCATTGTTGCAGCTGTGTAACCACAGATAGATTGTTTTTTTTAATGACTTCCTCTGTTAGCTGAGTTGACAGCCCTGCAGGAAATGTGGTCAACTTCCCCATGGACCTCTTTTTAGAGTTCACACCTCGTTCAAGTGACAGTCAGGCTGCATGCAACTGGTGAAATCCATTGCACCGTTGAACTCATTTGTAATAGATTGAGTTTCCACATTAACATAGCAGCACGATATCCACAAGAGCTGCCGCTGTTATGATTTAAGCAGGGTGCCTGTAGATTTCTCTTCCAGTAACCCTGTTGTTTTACTGGTTCCTTGCCTTTTTTGCGATCATTGCCGACAAATTGTTTGACTGCGTGTGCTACTCCTTGAACATAACCGTACCCTTCCCCTTCTATCACTTCATTCCTCTCATCCCACTCTCTGCACTGGACGTGGGTGAAGCTACCGCCCCTGCCTCGCCACCCACTCTATCATTACATTATTCTCTTCATACCATCATTCTCTTGCCTCCTACTTGACGTCACACTCCCCCTCCCTCCTTTGTGTCCTTGTACATAACATGCTTCAAAATCCGGCTGCTATGTTTATGTCATCATATGAGCCTCAAATGTGTGGTCATTTCACAATGTTTATGCCACATCTTTCACAAATCTATATGGTATGTGTTACCCAAAATGTTCCTTGTCTCAAAGGAATTTCCCCCCTCCCTGTTGAAGGCATAAACCCATCATTGGAAACAGATGAAAGCAGGATAGGTCATGCTGTACATTCTAAACCCAAAGCAGCAGTCTCACCACCCACACATCTTCTTAAAGCCAAATTGAAATTGCATGAAAGTGGAACTGCTTGTCATTTTCCCTTGTCTCTTGGGGGAGGGGGGAGCATGATTAAGTCAAAGCAACCTACTCATTAGTGAAATATATGTTCAATGCATTGAAACTTAAAATGGAAAAGGCCAAAGTCCTGCTTTCCCTGTTGTCTCAATCCATCTTTGCATACCTAATCTTCTATCAATATTTAGTGTATCTGCTTGTCTGTTCCCACCATGTAAAGTCTTGTGTGTGGGTAGTGAGTGTGTGTGAGTAGGTGGCTAAGAAGATTGAGTTCAGATGATTTGTATGGAAATATGGAATTGTAATATTGGTTTTAAATTGCCTTTAGTCTACATAGTAAAAACGATTGGGGTTGCCTTTTCTGTATGATTTATTTTCTACAGAGGCCAATGTGAGATGTGTTTTGTGTGTATTTATGTGACAGTGTTCTTGATGGAGTCAATAGATCTACAGCTGTGCTCACTTTAATGGAGGTACACAGCTTCTGTTGCACAGGAAACAACTCTAAATGCATCTGTCATTTTTCTGATGTATAAGTACTGTATTTATTAAATCAAAGATTCTCATGGTCTGTGTTAAGAGAAATTAAAATGGCAGGAAAATATTTGTAAAATGATGTTGGCCTGGTTTTATTTTGCGTCCTTATCAGTGTTTTTTTTTTTTTACTAAGACTTGTTTTAATTCATCCTCTGTGGCAACGTAACTGAAGCCAGATTGCAGCAGTTACTAGAACAGGTGCAGTTTAGTAGGATTTTAGTCGTCAGGCTTGACTCAGACTCACTGAAGAACCATGAGATAACAACATAAAATACGACCTCCACTTACGGTCGGCATTGAAGTGTAGATGTTTAGGACTCAAAGAAGAACAAAGCAACCATCACCCATCTAAAACAAAAATAAATATGGTGTGCTTTGAGTGTAGTCTTTTAAATGTTTGCAAGCAAAATGATTTGCAGTTTTATTGAAATGCTTTTTATGGAGTTTTTGTATCTTGAGACTGTTGTGGTGTTGTGCCACACCAAGGCAGAAATCATGAATGTGCTGGTGTATCTGACCTTGCTCTGTCTGCATTTTGTATGACTTATCAATCTGCCTGTGTCTCCTTCAGGATCCAGCAGGAATCTTTGAGCTGGTCGAGGTTGTCGGCAATGGGACATATGGGCAGGTGTACAAGGTGAGACGTGATGCCTATATATCACATCTGAATTATGTGGGACTTTTTTTTTTTGGAGATTGAAGCATTAGAACAGACAGGTTTTTACTTCCTGCAATCAGTTGCTGTATAAAAAGCTACAAGGACCAATCTAGTGCCTTCTTCTTTGTTAAATGTTCCGTGCATTAATTTCTCAAATTGCAGCAGATATATCTTACTGCTATGTCAGTACATTTTTCAGCTGTCAATCTGAAAGGTTTTAAGTGGCTGTGACAGAGAGATAAGAGACTCTAGCAGAAGAAAATCTAAAAAAAATACTGGTGAAATGATACAATGAGGCAATTAGCCACACTTAATGGACAAAATGCAGAGTTTCAGAAACATTGGAGTCCCAAGTTCATTTTTAAACTCTGCTGACCTCTGTTGTGATGATCTAAATCAGGGCCGTCACGTTAAGACGGGCCAGCTTGCTGCCATCAAGGTGATGGATGTTACAGAGGAGGAAGAAGAGGAGATCAAAGCAGAAATCAACATGCTGAAAAAATACAGCCACCACCGCAACATAGCCACGTATTACGGTGCCTTTGTCAAGAAGAGTCCACCAGGACACGATGACCAACTTTGGGTCTGTCTACACTTGTACCTTGTCTGATGATTTACAGCAATATGCCTCAGTCATGGTGCTCACTAAGTTTGTGTTTGTCTGCATTTAGCTGGTGATGGAGTTTTGTGGGGCGGGGTCAGTGACAGACTTGGTGAAAAACACTAAGGGCAGCTCTCTAAAAGAGGACTGGATCGCTTACATCTGCAGAGAGATCCTAAGGGTGAGAAATCTCAGTTGCACCAGTCACAACAAGTCTGCAGCAAAGGTCTTTCCTTACTGACCAATTGTGTCTTCTTTGTCCATGCGCAGGGCCTTTCTCACCTCCATGCCCATAAAGTTATCCACAGAGACATCAAGGGCCAGAACGTGCTGCTAACAGAGAATGCAGAGGTCAAACTTGGTACGTAGAATGTTTTTTTGCCGTTGTATTGCAAAATGAGGTTTATACTATCCATGATTGTCTCACATCCTTTCCTTTGTCTGATTTCTTTGTCCATATTCAGTTGATTTTGGGGTGAGTGCTCAGTTGGACAGGACCGTTGGGCGTAGGAACACCTTCATTGGCACACCTTACTGGATGGCACCTGAGGTTATTGCCTGTGATGAGAACCCTGACTCCACCTATGACTACAGGGTAAGAGCAGCACTGTGTTTGTGTGTGCGTGAGTGAGCACTATGTTGTGAGAGCATATGGAAGATGGAGACTGACCTGGTCCCTTTTGTATTTTGCAGAGTGATATCTGGTCCCTGGGGATCACAGCCATTGAAATGGCAGAGGGAGCTCCTCGTAAGTACACCTTTTGTACCTGTTCTTGGTTGTATCATGCGTGTCTATGTACTCGACAACAGATAATTTCTCATCGTCTCGAAGCCCATTCTTAAAGACCTCATGAATGAGTCTTGTCTTGCATATTCGGCCTTGTTGTCTGTATCTTCAGATGGACAGCTGACTCACTGTAATCAAGGTAGTGTAGTCGTGAGCTGGCAGTTGGTGTGTGGAGGCTGATTGCACAGATCTCTCTGGTCTGCTTAGCGGGGAGATCTGTCTGCTTTGAGATTTGGTGTCAAACCTGACTAAGAAACAAAGAAAATCTCACTTATGAGTAGCAGCCAAAATGTTTGCAAAATAAATGATCTCAGCTTTGGGAAAGAAATTCCATGTTTCACAGTAGCTCGACATGAGTAACGGGCTTTACTTATTGAGTTTCCTTAGTACTGCATTTAACATTAAAGTGGTAGAAGAAAAAAATTGCAATTATGGGCAGTGTCTTCATTCCGCCTGAATTTTACAGCTGCCTGCGGCTAATTATTGAGGTGGGGGCACACTGAGCTCTCTTTGAATAAATTTGAATTATTCCTCTACTAAAATCCTTTAAAACTGTTGCGTTTAGTTACGTCACTTGATGTTTGAGAGTTTGAGACTGGAAGACTTTTTATATTCATCTGCTGAAAGGGGAAATTTCTCTGTACTCAACGTGAACATTAAAAGACTTTAAGGCATGTATTGGCAAGTATGATTTGTGCCATCTCAACTAGTTTGGAAGCCAATCATGGCCCAATATGAAACATATATATATATATATGAATGAGGGAGAGGGGGTTGATGTATTTTTAATAATTATTATATCAGAAACAAATCATTATGCCAATTAAGTATTTTTGTCTCAAAAACATTTACATTGAGCCCCTACAGACCATGTTGCTGTTGCTTTGGATGGCATAAGGCATACAGGCCAACTGTCAAGCTGGTGTTGATGTACCATTATAAATTATGCAGTGTGTACTTACTCAATCCATCAGTCTCATTATGTAGCATGTTTTCCACTAATAAAATTACAATATTCCTTGTTTTTAAATGAGCCAATATGGAAATAATGGAAGGCAGTTTTATTAATCCGTTAATTTTTCATGTCTTTGCCAAACAAATAAGCAATATCACAACACCACATTAGTCTTTGATAACTTAAGATAGACATTTGTCATTAACTACATAATAAATGGTTTGTTTTGTTTTTGATTAGTTGGTTTATCAGTGATGACAATCATCATTAGTTGCTACCAGAAATTTGTGTGTTTCTTATGAATGTCTGTACTGAGTTCCTTTTTGTCCTACATGATGGATCTGGGAAATTTGGTCCGAATCAAATAACAAAAAATGCTTCTGAAATACATGACCTACCTTAACATAAAAAATATGAAGAAACATATTTAACATTTTTTTGTTGAGAACATGGCCTCCAAAATCTTAAAAAAGTAGTATGTATGATGAAGGTTAAGTTGACAGAATTATTAAGGACCCTTCTCACCCACTGTACAGTGAATTTGAACTTTTACCTTCAGGGAGACGTTATAGACTACAGGTGGCTAATAGAAATATCTACAAGAAATTGTTTGTCCCAAGTGCTGTCAAGGTAATAAATGAAAGTAGGATCCGTAGACTAGGATACAGAGTGGTGCTCCTGACTTTGCTGTAGTTTTTTGCACAGTAGGTTAATGTGATATTGTGTATAGTGTACTTCTGTATTGTGAGCTGTATTTTTATGGTGACTTATTGTTAAATTGTTTTTAAACATATTAACTATTAAGCATCTTTTCATACACTTTTGAGCATTCTGTTATGTTGGGTATTTATAAACTCAACCATTCCCACTGACAGGATGTTGACAAAACTGCCAACATCCTGTCAGTGGGTGATCCATTCCTTTTTAAATAAAAATAAACAATGCAAACCTACTGAATAAATACTAATTTTGCTTAAACATTACTATTTGTAATACATGTTAAACATGCACGTTATATACGTTATTATCAATTTAACTGTGAGACCTCTGTTTTAATGTGGCTCTTTGGCTGTCTCAGTCACGTTGCATATGTCCAAAAGACTGCATTACAAAAGCCTATTTACTGTCAAAGTGTAAAGCTAACCAGTCAGGTTTAGCTACCTACCTACGCTGGGAACACAATGACTCACAGGCCTTGCTCTTACATTCAGTGTAACAATAAGCCTGGGGCACCAGGAAATATTGGATAACAGCAGCTCTAACCATGTTTTAGGATACAAAGAATATGTGTAATGGTGGAACATGAAATGTATTTTGATTTTCCTTTTCCTTTTTCTTTTTTTGTACCGTAGATGTCAGCATGGATATGATTATTTTATTAATACCTAACAACTCTAACCATCACCTTTATTTCTGTAGCCTTGTGTGACATGCACCCGATGAGAGCCCTCTTCCTGATTCCCAGGAATCCCCCTCCGAAACTTAAATCCAAAAAATGGTGAGTTATCAACCATCCTGCTTCTTCCTTCATTTTAAGCATTTTTTTTACATATACAATATCCTAGACACTTAACAGGCTCCCTTCACATGATGTTAAATGTGTATAAAGACCTGAACACGTTTCCAAAGGCAGATTGAAGAGAAAGTTTTTAACATTCAGACAACATTAATTTTTTGTCTGCTACATCAACCATATCTGTTCTGTAAGTCACTTGTCTTGTCTCAGAGATCAAATGGGATACATTTATGTTTAACATTTTTTGGTTTTCTGGTGTCGCCCACTAGTTTTGCATTCATTTTACAGAACATTGTTGTGTCCGTCTACGTAGATTAAGACCTTACTTTGACACAGCCAATCAAATCTTACATAACGCAGTAACATCTGTGTTCTGTCATAGGCAGAGCAGACGGTCACACTGAGCCGGACAGCAGCCGGCTACACAACACAAAAAGCCACTGACTTTGTACAACAACCCACATTAGCTTTCTTCATAAACTCTCCTTCTTATCTAACCCACTTGTACTCCACCTTAACTTGTTAAACAAGCCACCAAACAAATATTCACTAGGAAAAAGTGCATTGCTAACCTAAGTAAATAACATGGTAGGTAAATTCTGTTCCAATGTTTTCCCCTATAAAATGACATGGAAACATTAGTATGTGGTGCATCACACACACATTTGAAGATCATCTCTTTGTATTGACATAACAATAAATTATAGAAATATACAATAAGATCTGCAATGGTTAGCTAAATCCACCAAATATACAGCACTGAATGGAAAGAATGCTGCTTGAACAAGGAGAAATACAAAGCTGTCCCTCACTCAGATTTAAAAGTGTGAGAGGTCTCGTGCTTTGTCCCAGTGTTGAGACAGATATGATTGTGAGCAAGACAAGAAGCTGTATTCATTTAAACTAATTTGTCATATTCTTTCTCTTGCCCTGTTGTTTTGCTCCTATTACTTTTCCTGCTACTCGTTTTGTGTTACCATAAAGACTCAAAATAAACAGTAATGCAGATACAAAAACATAAGTAAGAGATGGATACAAGAACAACAACAACAACATCATTGACCTCATATAGGTATAGTAGCCATTGCATGGTCAATGTAGCACATTGTATTGTATTTTAGTGATCATGTTATGCTCAAATTGAGTGAAATTGAGTAACAAGTAAAAGTAAAATATTTTCTCAGATTGTTATGTACTGTTCACTCTGTTTACTGGTTAATTGCAGCTACTAGCTCCCCTGTCAATCAAATCATTTCTGTAAAGCCATTGTAGAATGAAATGGATCAGTGCAGAATGGTGTGGTTTTTTTCAGCGTCACACAAGACTGCAAGCATGAACTGGGAACCTTAAATACTTTAGTTCACACTTGTTTATTCCTAGAAATTTCACACATACGATTCCTCCCCCAAAAAGGCTGGACATGTCAAAGGGGCTAAAGACAGACCTTGCACCACATGAATCTCTCTGATTATTGTTGGTTCAGGATTCTGGGCAATAACAGCCCAACTGCTAAATATCTCATGCCTCCCCATCCTCCCACTCTCCCTCACTAGCTTATCATCCTCTAACCTACCCCTTCCGCACAGGTCCAAGAAATTCATTGACTTTATAGAGGGCTGTCTCGTGAAGACATATCCTAGTCGACCATCCACAGAGCAGCTGCTCAAGCACTCCTTCATCAGGGACCAGCCCACTGAGCGCCAGGTCCGAATCCAGCTCAAAGATCATATTGACCGTACGCGCAAGAAAAGGGGAGAGAAAGGTAAGAAAATGAAAATGAGATAAAAAGACAAGTTACGTTATCTCTTCATATACAGTTATCAGAAGTATATTGAAGGTTAGTATGCCACAATGTTTATTCATGTGATGTTTGACTATTTATTCATTTTTTTCCTATAGAAGAGACAGAGTATGAGTACAGTGGTAGTGATGAAGAGGATGAAAATCGTGGAGATGACCGAGAGTCAAGGTAATTGCAGTTGATCATCTCTGTACAAGTAGTATGAATCCTTGGCTTGTGTTCCCTGTGCGAATGATTGTCCCCAAAATCCTCTCCCTTATATCTTCAATTTTGGTCACCAGTTCAATCCTCAATGTGCCCGGTGAGTCCACCCTGAGGCGGGACTTCCAGCGTCTGCAGCAGGAGAACAAAGAGCGCTCGGAGGCTCACAAGAGGCAGCAGGCCCAACTGGCTGCTCAGCGTAGGGACCCTGAGGAACACAAGAGGCAACTGTTGCATGACCGACAGAAACGCATTGAAGAACAGAAGGAACAGCGTCGTCGACTTGAAGAGGTAATAATCAATCAGGGAATTGATACTTTTTAAGTTGTTTGGTGATAAGAATGACGGTACTCTCATATCTGTATACTTAATATGAAGCTAGAGCCAGGAGACGTTTATCTTAGCTTAGGGAGAAATAGCAAGCCTGGCTCTCTCCAAAGTTAAAAAATACTTCTACCAACTCCCCACAAAGACTTGAGACTGCTATCAATCATCAGCTCTAGGCAAGAAAGCAAATATGCGTATTTCCAAAAATGTTCAATTATTCTGTTGTGGAAATCAAAGATATATTTCTTGCTTTTGTTTTCTTTCTGTCTTGGGGTTCTGCAAAGTTAACTCTTAATGTTCCAGTATTTGGGTTTTTCAACTTGGGTTTTCTCATAGCTTCTCGCCATCTTCCTTCTTTTTGTTGTCTGGTGCTCGTTTGGATTCATTGTAATACATTTATTTAGTCAGGGATGGAACAGTGGTTTTCCTGGATGTTATTTTCACCATAATACATTATGCAACACAACAGCACTTTTTTTTTAATTAAAAGCTAAACTGTACCAAGCAACCAAAATATCAGGTTCCTTGTCTGTAATGTGTCTGCCCTTTTATACGCCCTTTATCAAGCCTCCAATCTTCAGGTCAGTATTTGGTTTGCCGCTGCTTGCTTTGGTTATAAGTGCACTGCATTTATGAATTTCATTCTATTGTGGGCCCTACTAAGCCATATGCTATATGGTAGATGTGTAAACTATGAACATAAGTAATATATTATTAATATGTAATAAAATAATACATGTAACAGTAGATTTTGAAGGCCTGAGGCCTGTGCACTACATACACACCAGTACACTTTACCTAGCCAGTTGCCACCAGCTCAAAGCCTCCCTGACTAAACAACCTGCAAGTACTCAACAAAACCTCAGGTCACCTTCACTGGCAACAGTACCTTTTTGCTCACTAACATTCATAGGTAAATAAATATGTAAATAAATATGTAAACACTGCGGAATATAGTCAGATTATTGAATGGGAAAGAAAGTTCAGCTCCTTGCAACACGTATGAATTATTAATTCTGCATTCGCCCAGAGTGAAATGATTTGTGAGTATGAAGTTTGTAAAATGCATACAAACTGTGTAAATGTAGTTCCACCCTTAAGGAGTTTTGAGATTAGTGAGTTGTATTGGGGGCTGAGGGGTCAGACATTCTCAACACTGAGACCACTAATCTGCCTGTTATGAGGCTGTGAACCAGCTCTGCAGGCTGCATGCGTTGACTGTATCAGTACAGTACGTAGTTTGACTAGTATAACGTAAAGAAACGTTTTTTTATAATCTATGCTTTTCCTTAAGGTTGTAAGGTTGAGGAATTAAAGCAGGCAAGCTAACAACAACGGACAGTGTAACCAAGAAATGACAGAGAGAAATTACATAACATTCACAGTTAGAAAGTACATGCAGAGACCTGTGATACATGTTGGCCATCTCAGATCTGGATCACTACTGAAATATAATCCTATTCTTATTATATATTACTTTTACCCACAAAGCTTTTACCAAAAACAATCTTTTACTCTACATGTTGGTTTGTACAGTGTGTGTATATATATATATATAATGATGTCAACAGTGTTTGCAACTGCACAGTGTGGAATAATATGACTACCCACTGCCTTCGGTTAAAGATGTTTGCCCAGTACGAGCATTTGTTGAATACTGTAGCATTCAATGTACACTTGAAATGCTATTTCACAACCCCACAATTCAACATGTCATCTTCTCTGCCCAGAAGGCAACTGAACTAAAATAAATCTAATATAGTGTCTAAAAGTGTCTATAGTATAGTCTAGAAAATGTTGTCATAGTCAGCATAAAGCTACATTAAAAGCTTTCCTTACACTCTGTAGCCATTAGCCTTTAGTAGCAATTAATTAGTGATTGGCTGGTGGAGTCAGATGATCATGGTCATTTTATGCGTCATGTAACCACATACATCAGTTTGTTTAAATGTTTTATTGTAATGTGTTATTGTCCAACATACAGGACTTTAGACATTATTTAAGTAAAAATGTACTTTCTGAAGTTTTTGAATGACATATCTGCATAACAACTCAGCTCATTGTGCTCATCAGCTCATCAGCTGTGAAATATTCGATGAGTTATGTGGGATTTGAATGAGGCACACATAATTACACTGATATTGCTTTTGTTATTAGAAGCATTGTGCAGTAATGGTAAGGTATTTTACTGCAGTAAGATTGAACTCCTAATATACCTCCACCTCCTCCTCTGTCTCCTCTGTTCAACTGTACAGTGCCAACAACAACTGAGTGAGCTCAGAAGAGCTCTGAGTTGTTTTGTGTCACTACCAGGTAAACATTGTTTTTTCGGTGTCCCCTAAAAATGCAGATAAAGACTGGTCCATGCCAACAGTTAATAGCTGTGGTCAGTTTGAGTTTTAATCAAAGCAGCACACTTGGAGGATGATTAGGATGCAATAGGTGTGTGTGTGTTTGTGTGTTTGTGAGAATGACTCACAGCCTCTATTCTCTGCCCTGCACTCCCGCTCCCTTTATTTATTTATTTTTTTCCCCCAGCTCTTTGCACATAAAACAAGGGAGGGTTTGCGTATAAGCAGGCTATCCATAATAATTTCCTCTGTGCAAACATAGCCTCTATGCTCATTTCTCTTTTTTCTGTCATCCTTCTCTCCCAGCAACAGAGAAAAGAGCGAGAGATGGTGAGGCAGCAAGAAAAAGGTCCCCATCGGAGACTTGACGATATGAGACGGGAGGAAGATAGAAGGTTGGCTGAGAGGGAGCAGGTAACCAACCACAAGAGACGGGGGGCTGCAATCAGCCAATCATTGCAAAGTGTGGGTGTGTCCACCGGCAACACTCTGCAAGTTGCTCTGGTGGTGAAATTCCACGAGTAGGTTGCCATAGCAGCAAGGGTCTAAATTAGTGTATTTATTCAGAGATGAGTTTTCTGTGGGTGAGCTCTCTGCGTCTCTTATGCTCTGTTTCCAGTCTACCCTCAGTAACACAAGAGTCTGGCATCACAGCACCATCAACTTGTAATGCCAAATACTGATTTTATGTTAGTATGGTACCATATAACAATCTCAATGTACTGCAAAATACTTCAATTACTCTTTATGTAGTAATCTATCACAATCTTCTATGTAGTGCTACACAGTGATATTGTGTTTTAATTGTAACTTTTATTTCTCTCCTTCAACTTCTCAATGGGCATGTTTTGTCTTGAAAATTCAGTGTTGGAGTTGTTGATTTGTATCAGTACAGTACATAGTTTTCTGTTCACTGGAATAACATTACATAACTGTTATCTGCCCCTGTTGTCTACCCATCCTCCATATACTTTCATTTCCTTTTTCCCACCATCATTACTACCTTTTTACCTTTCCTCAGGAGTTCATCAGACATAAGTTAGAAGAAGAGCAGCGGCAGTTAGAAATCCTTCAGCAGCAGTTGCTTCAGGAACAAGCACTGCTTATGGTAACTAGTCTTCACTAGTCCTTTATCTTTTTTTGACTGCAGAGGTGTCCATGTCTTCCTCTTGACTATAATACGTCATCAGTAAAGGAGATTTATTGATCAGCACAGAAAACTACAGTGTATTGTCACAACAATATGTATGTTCTTTCTGTTTTCGTCAAAAGAAATACTGCAGTATTACATGTCTGCCTATGTTTGGGAACGGAGGCGTTTAGGTGGAGTAAAGGTTGTTGAGAATAATTTTTTACAATCAGATTCTAACAGCTCTTCTTGTATTTGTAACAAAATAAAGCAGATTCAGGTTCTAGATGTGCAGCCCCTTGATGTAGATATATTCTACATTTTGCAGAGTGTGGGTGTATCTCCCACAATATTGCATGTCTTGAAAAGGCATGCACTGACCTAGATTTTGGGGGCAGTTTTGGGCAGATTGCAGTGTTTACACTGAAGGGAAGAGTTGCCACACTCTAGACATAGCACAGTGGGAGAAAGGGCCCAACCCTCACTACTGTATGCATGAGGCAATTGAAATATTAAAAATATAAATCATTTTCACATATCCCTCCTAACTAAGTTACATATATGCATAATCCCTGTGTATTTGCATATTTTCATAGGGACAAGAGGACAGGACAGTGTCTCTGGAGTAGTTTGGGGGGTTCACTGCCATGCTTAGGGGCAATTAGCAGAGGTGATATGTGCAACAAACTCCAAGAAACAGGGTAAAGCTATTTTGACATAGTGGCTACAGTTGATATTGCAGGATCACATGATATACACAGGCCCCAAAAAACGTTTTCCCATTCACAGTCATTACAAAAGGCACGGCTATAAAGCAATGAATACATTTTTTGACTTTCACAAAAACTTATTTTGTGATTTGTCGAAATGTTGTCCTATGTACTTATTGACTTACTTGTATTGGAGTGATTAGGGCACAGTAGTCAGTTCTCTTCATACATCCATTGTGTACAATAGATGTAAGCCACCCTCCTGTTGCTCTCAGTTGTAATACACCTCTAATGAACTCCATTCCTTTAATCAAAATGTTAAATTCAAACTTAACACTTCCTGCAGCTGGTTCACAGTAAAAGCCTTCCTCTAGGTCCTTTCATTAGATGTAATGAAGATAGTAACAGGCAAAATGTCGAATTGAAATGAACTAAACCACCTCTAAAAAAAATCTAATGAAATCAAATAAAAGGCATGAATTCAAAAGGAGCTGCTGGACGGCTTTGATGGAAGAGTGAAGTCAGCCACAATTCATTGCTCGATAAAGTCTATGTTCAGACATTTCCTGGTGCTATTTTTTGTGAGGGAATTTGTACATTTCAAGACAATTGGGCTACCATTAGATTAAGGTATTAACAGAAACATAGGTGTTCGGCAAATGTCTGATCTGTTGTTCAGAACAGAGATTGGGGGTCTTTTCGTTTGCTTTTTTGAGCCATCCTCAAATTTATCATTCAAAAAGGAATATCAGCACTCTACGATCTCATATTTTGCATTTAAAATGGATATAAACGCATCATATATCATAATCGATGGCCTGGCCACGAACAAAATGAGAATAAATGGCATTATGAGTCTTGGAGGTGTGGAGGATTCCTGCTTTAAAATAACACTTTTTCCTTAGAATTTAATATATCCACAGTAGCTGCATATCCGTCAGGGTGACAGTGGCAGCTGGTCAGAAAGTTTAGCCTATATATTTTTTTCTACAGGAGCTTACTCAAGGTACCTCTGAGAGATGTACTGTAATCCTTCCAGTTTGTCAGTCTACTCTAAAGTCCCCTCCCACACAGGAAAGCACCTGGGTGAGGCATCCTCACCAGGTGCCAGAATGGGTTCTCTTACTGTGGAGGAACACCACAGTGCTTTCTTGTGTTTGTATGCAAAGTCCCATGATTTCACTCTCTACCCAGACCATGTGGGCCATATGTGAGCATCATAATGAAGATTGACTTGGAAATCTAGCACTTTGCTTTATGGCCCATAGCGATTTGCAGTTTAAACAGTTTTCAAGAAGATCAAATGAAAGAAGAAAAAACAAGTGCTCAACTTAATGCGAAAGTTCATTTTGATTTTGTGTACATAAAATTGTTTAAATGTATCAAATGTAACTTTATATGAGACATTTAGAAAGTTCTGCTGCATTTACTGCTTGAAAATAGGAATTGTATCTCTGCTGTTGTAAGAAGCAATGTGAATTTGAGTAACTCATGGTTCAAACTCATAATTTCTTGTTTCCTTGTGAACACAGTGGCCATCAAAAGTCTGGTAGACCTGTGCCTACAACTCACAATGAAAAGCCAATAAGTCAACTGACTCACTTTTACACTGTCTGTTTAATATACAGCCCAAAAGATTTAGCTACATGCACAATCAATATTCTTTTGATGTGGGTCGGTAATTGACTGCTGTACTAAAAATAGGACTGCGCTAGGGATGATAAAATTTGCCCAAAACATTTATTATCTCAGTGGATGAAATAAGTGTTGGTCAGCAAAATGTGTAAGCCTCTGCCAGAAGTTTTGATGAATGCAGACTTGCTGTTTGCAGATTTATTGGTTCGGGTTACGACCTGCCTGACCTGTTGTTGTCTAGTCTGAGGCAAGCAACGGCTTGACTGCAGTGTGTTTTTTTGCTCAGGAGTATAAGCGCAAGCAGCTGGAGGAACAGCGTCAGTCAGAGCGGCTGCAGAGGCAGCTGCAGCAGGAGCATGCCTACCTGGTGTCTCTGCAGCAACAGCAGCAAGAAAAGAAGCCCCAGCTCTACCACTATAACAAAAATCTGGAGCCAAACAACAAACCTACTTGGGCCCGTGAGGTAGCAATGTTACCTACTTTTGAAGCATTACATACCGCTGCTGTACACCGGCTTACAGATTTCCTCCTTCACTGTCATCCTTATTTCAGGTGGAGGAGCGAAGTAAACTCAACAGACAGGGCTCACCCAAGATCTGCACCACTGTGTCTGACACTGCCATCCAGTCACGCTCTGACTCAATCAGCCAATCAGGCGTGGTCCAGTCTGCTCAGACCCCACCAATGCAGAGGCCAGTTGAACCCCAAGGGGGGCAGGGAAAGGTGGGTATTTGCAAGTGTTTAAAATTCAGTTAATTGAAAGCTTATAAAAAAACAATGCAAGATACAACTGCTTATGCCTTTCTGCCCCTAATTCTGTAGCTGCTTTACCCTTTATTGTCTACGCTACCTTATTTACACATTTCTTTTTCCTCTTTTCCCTCCTTTTCCTCTCCACCCATCTGTAATCACTTAAAAATTACCTTGGAACGTAAACACAACCTTGCCTTCTCCACTTTGGCCTGCTTTTCGGACTCTCTTGTGCACTCTTCCTTCTGCTCGGCTGTCCCTCCCTTCCAATGTGCTGGTTCTGCTCCTGTTCTCTGCAGTTCCAGATGGCTCACTTGGTTCCACTGAAGCCTTATGCTGCCCCTGTCCCTCGCTCCCAATCCCTCTGTGACCAGCCCACTAAGACCATGTCTGCCTTCCCCACCCAGGATCCCTCCCTTACCCCCACACCCCGCCCCATCCACTCTAGGGAGCTGGTTCGTCAAAACTCAGACCCCACTTCTGAAACCCCGGCACCACAGGCACACCAAATCAGAGAAGATCGCGGCCCCTGGATTCGCCTGCCAGATGTGGAACTCCCACCCAAGGTGAGATCTGAGGCTGGTTTTGACTCAGCAGTAGGTGGACAAACCCACAGTTTGCATGTTTTTTTAACAAGATTCACATAACACAAATATAATATTAGCTTAACTACAGTTAGTAAACAGATATTTAAAAGTCTCAGTTTTAACTGACCTGCATTTGCTGGTTGTGGTTACAATCCCACCCAGTACTTGGGTGTCTACATCTAAAGAAAGCTCTTAACCAGTGGATTAAATTTATGTGAATACTTTCAACCTGACGACAGGCCAGTCTTCTATGATGTTGTTGTTGTTGTTGTATAATGGGTGGATTCAGGGTTTGAAAAAAAAAAAAACATCTTTGGTCACTTTCTAAGCTACAATACTGGTAAATGTAAGACTATAATGTTGCTGTCCTCAGATTCCACAGAGGACAGCGTCTATTGCCACTGCTCTCAACACCAACCTGACCTCTGGCATAAGGCATCCAGTAAGAGCCAGGTACTGAAAACAGCCAAATAATCAGATATTTCCAGAAATGAGTGCCTCCTAAATGGTGGTAGGTTTTAATGACTACTTGAGATAACTGATTTGTATCCTTAATGTATCCTAATGGCAGCAATCCAGATCTCAGCCGCAATGATCGCTGGGAGAGAGGAGACAGTATGAGCATCATATCCAATCTGCCTCAGACTGGCTCTCTAGAGAGGCATCGCATCCTCAGTGAGTCCCTGCCTCCCCAGTGCTATTTCTCTGCAGACTTTTTTGCAGTTACTCTGATTTCAGAATTATAACTATACTCTACAACACTATTTGCAGGTTCCTCCAAAATGGATTCGCCCATTCTCTCGCATGATAGTCGTCATAAGCCAGGGGAGTCTCGCACCTCCTCCCGCCCTGGGCGCCCTGCTGTAAGTGGTTCTTTCAGACAGACATTATATTGGATGTGTTATCACTATCCCCTACTTATAAAACTAGTTTTAACATTACTGAAGGGCTGCATGCAACACATAACATTGCCCAGATATTAAGAGGTTAAAAAGCAGTAACTTACAGTACATATGCTCAGCTTGATCTCTAATGCACCTTTTCTGTAGATGGACACATAGTATACTAACTGAAGGGTTTCTCCTTATATTACCTTTCCTTTACACGTGTACTTCTTACTATTGCTGTTTCCCTTCATGTTTCTCTTCTTCTCAAATCCCTGTTTGTTGACTTTACCTCAAAAATGCAGAGTTACAAGAGAGCTATAGGGGAGGTTAGTAACACAGTCTTTGTGTGTTGTGCAGTGCTCCGTGTTGATGCATGCGTTTTGATCTGCATTCATTGGCTGCAGTACACAGATTGAATTGCATGTTTTTACACTGCCTTTGTTTATAGGGTAAATCATGTTTGTCTTCAGACAAAATTCCACTCGACATAAAGCTCTTTTTGAATGTGTTTGCATTTTTTCTGTTACTATGTTGACATCCCACACTCACCAGGCTTTGTAACCATGCCTCAGAATCATCCCAAAATATCATTAGGTGAAAGGCTCTGAATTCAGAGAGTATTAGGACTGTTTCTGAGCCCGACCACCTGATGACCCCTCCCCTTCAGTTGTGTTTGGATTGTCTTTAATATTAGTAATGTATATCATACTGTTGTGTTATTTGCCACATTCTTGAATAGCTGGGATGATGTTTAAAACATTTTCTGAAGCATTCTTAAAGTAAACTGTGGTGTGTGTGTAGGACCATGGCCTCTTTGCCAAGGAGCGTGCTGAGGAGCAGCCAAGGCCCCCAGTCAAAGCCAATGATTACTCCTCCTCATCGGAGAGCAGTGAAAGCAGTGAGGAGAGTGAAAGTGGCGAAGGAGCAGAGGAGGAAGAAAGCCCCACAGACCGGTAACACCAACGCCTACAAATACTAACCATTCACGAAGCAAATAATTGTTTTTATTTAACTTTACTTTTAAATAAAGTATTCCATACTTCCTGTTTTTTTTATTTTTTTTATTCTTTTCCCTTTTCAAGCGTGGGGTCCTACGTCATACTTGACTTTCATTTCACTTTTGATTTCAGTCACAGGGATGCAGACACTGATTCAGTCAACACTATGGTGGTTCATGAAGACGAGGGCGAGGGGGGAGAGGGAGAGCAAGCTGGAGGATATGGGGATCAGACCATGCTGGTGCAGAGGGTGAGTCATCTGTATACGTAATGATACTTAAAATGCATTGTGAGTTGACGATGATTTTGTTGTTTAGCGTTATGTTCTTTTACACATATAACTGATCAAATGAAGAAGATGTGACGTTACGTGGATATTTTGTATGCAGCCTTAATTGAGTGTGATAGGGAAAAAAGTGTAACAGTCAGGTTTCACTGTCACTCAAAGCCAAAAAGCATGTAGATTCAGCGCTTTGCACCAATGTTCAACAAGCCCTCAGGAAGAAATTAATCATAGGGCAGGCAGTCATACAATAGCAATAGTACCAAATTTGCCATCAATAGAGCATAATGTTATACAGCCACAGCTTCGGTATTCCACATTTGTTAGTAATTTTAAGAAGAAAAGGTAATGCTGTTGGGTACAGAAACTCCATGAGTTAACCATGACAACTTTTAAAAGCCTATTGTGCATAGTTAACTGACCTTCTGTAAATGCTGCAACTGTATATTGTTTTTTATTTTGTATAGAAAGCCATCCTGTGTTAGATTGGCATAAATGTTTGAGATTTTTGGAGAAACAGCAATATGATTCACTGACAGACGGCCTATATCTTGCAGGTGGCTCATGATTAGTTGAATGTGGGAAGTGTCACCTTCTCTGAAGTGCAATAGTTTTGTGTGTGTGTTTATTTGAATATGCAACAAGTGCAAATATTTGTGCCAATCGACAGTTACATTTCTGAATATCAGGGAAAGATATGCAGTTTATCTATTATAAGTAAAATGGCAAACATTGTGCAGTACATACAAACAAGAAGAATTTTGATTACTTTCACACATACAGTAAATATGTCTGTCTCACTGATGGCATATAAATTCAGCTGGATTAGATTAAAACAGTGGCAGTCCAACATTTATGGCACCCAGTAGATTTGACAATTAATATAATCTTCAGGAGGTCTTCCCATTTACCACTGAATGTGCGTAAGATATGTTTCGAACTGAGACAACATAGAGGGTGTAAATTATCTTCAGGAAATTCGTGAATCTTTCCTGGAGAACATTATCTACAATTGGCATATATCTTACATTTGACGTTGATCATTTTTGCCACATATGATGAGTATACTAAAACAGAATTTACCAAAAAAGGTTATCTGCTTGCACTTTATAAGGGCTTTAATATTTTATTTAAAAAACATTTAGATGTGCAGATATCTTTTCTAGTCTTTTCATAGAGCTTCAGTCAGTGTGAAAACTTCCATGTTCAGTTTTTGCTATAAGATATGAGGCTGGGAAGCGTCCACTGTCATTTAGTTAGACATTGGGCTAGAACCTGGACATGTCAGATAACTATTTGGAGTCAGTCAGACAGTGGTGACGGAAAGCAGAAGAGTGGCACATCAGTGACCTCAAAGACACAACAACTGGCTAATTGAAGAATATGAACGTGGCTTTTTAAAGCAACTCTGCTCATGACTGTTACTTTACTTCACTTCTTGTGGTCACTGCGGTATGATAAAGAGACATGACAAATAGGTCATATCCTGGCAATTGGTGCAGCAGATTAGCCTAGATTCAAGTCTGTCATTGATGTTATGTAATACATGAAATTGTGTGTGTTTTTGTGTGTTTCTCTCTTACCTGAAAGACCCCAGAGAAGCGGAGCCATAATGGGTACACTAACTTGCCAGATGTGGTGCAGCCCTCCCACTCCCCCACTGATTCAGCTACTCACTCCTCCCCTGGGAAGGACTCTGTTTATGATGTGAGTTTTACTGAAGCTAAGTATATCAGTCCTAAATTCCTGGTTTATTTTTATATATTCCCTATCTGCAATCATTCCAGCCAAACAGTCCACCAATAACACATTTCATTTCATAACAATCAGTTCAGCTTGTTGGTGGACCTTCATTCAAAATGTAGATATTAGAACTGCTGTTTTAATGCCATAGACAGAGAAATCCATTTTTTAAATTCAGTTTGACAAACTAAAATCTCCACAGCCATTATGTTCACTTAAACTACACGGTATAACTCATACACCCTCTCTCCTCCACCAGTATCAGTCCAGAGGTTTGGTTAAAGCATCTGGAAAGTCCTCCTTCACCACCTTTGTAGATCTGGGCATGTATCAGTCCCCAGGAAGTACAGGGGATAACATGTCTGTCACTGGTGAGTCAGAAGCTTTTCAGACTTTCAGCCTTTCAGCAACATCTGCTTGGAGTTTCTTAAACATTAAACAAGAGAGCTACAGTTTATTGCAAAAGTATGCACTGCTTTAACCTTTGGCATTATTTCTTGTGCAGTAAAATACTTTGGGAAATTCAATTATACAGATTGTTTTGCTTAAGGTTGAGATAATATTTTATATTACATTACAACATAAATTCTTTAAAAAATGTAGCTTGTTAATCAACTGTAATTTTCCTTTTAAAAGGATGAATGGGAGATTTGTGTCTAGTTCCAAACCATGTACCATTTTGCCCTGGTGTGTAGGCTCCAGGTTTGAGCAGCTGAAGATGGAAGTGAGGAAAGGATCCATGGTGAATGTCAATCCCACCAACACACGCCCCCCAAATGACACACCTGAGATCCGCAAGTACAAGAAGAGGTTTAACTCTGAGATCCTGTGTGCTGCGCTCTGGGGTGAGAACAGTTTTAGAACTTGAGTATAAATGCAAAAACCTAAAACTAACTAATTATTCAAAATATGATCATATTTGGAGTTGCACAGATTGAAAAGAGTGCAAAGAAATCCGAGTCGAGTTACTTTAACCCTTCTTAACTCTGGCTCAACTTTGTGTCAAAGAACTAATATGCCAGCTCCAGCAGGGCACTGGTTGCAAATATGACGGAAAACCTGTGACATGAAAATTAGATTTGAGGCTGCTGGTGTACCTTCAGTTGTCTTAGTGTGACATTAATAACTCTCATGAGAGAACACTGTGCCTCTGCTATCATTAACAAAGCTATTTTTATCAAATTAATTTATACTTTTCTTCTAATTTATACCACTTCTCACAAGCTGTTTTTGCCTCTGTGATGACTTGTCGGGGAAAAGGTATCAATGTTTGTACAAATAGGCTTGTAGATAGAGTATCCATTGGGTGACGTCAAACACAGTTGCATCACATATTCATTAAAGCTATTTTTATTTTTATTTTTCTCCTGTCATGTCATGGCATTAGAGTTGCTGCAGGTTATGATGTGAAAATGATAATGGAAAATGAAAGGATAGGAGATGTCAAATAAGAGTTCTACTACAAAACTACTTTTAGCGGTGCATAAAATGACTGTAATTATTGCCTTTCCTCTTGTCAAAGTGAAAAAGCAATTTATTTGCATATTTGTGTCCCCAGGTGTGAACCTGTTGGTGGGTACAGAGAACGGTTTGAAGCTGCTGGACCGTAGTGGTCAGGGCAAGGTTTACCCCCTCATCAACTCCCGCAGGTTCCAACAGATGGACGTCCTGGAGGGCCTCAACCTGCTCATCACCATATCAGGTCCTTACTTCTGCTCATTGCCAGTCTGCTCTCACTACTGTTGGTTAAAGCTGTCTGCTTTTGGCATAAGACTGCTGTCTTTAATGGGATGCCAAACACAAGATGCCAAATTGTCCTCCTGCTTTCAGAGTGATTAGTTTGCATTGCATTTTGACTTTGTACTTTAAATACCTTATTTTTATTAGGATGTCAAGCCAATTGAGTAATAAAATGGGAAATATTTTACGATGAATGATATTTTGTTGACGATTACTGCTGCTTTTATCAGATATATAACAAAATGATTCTCCTTCGTAATTGATTTTAAGGCAAGAAAAACAAGGTCCGTGTCTACTACCTGGCCTGGCTGAGGAACAAGATCCTCCACAATGACCCAGAGGTGGAGAAGAAGCAGGGTTGGACCACTGTGGGGGAGATGGAGGGGTGTGTGCACTACAAAGTGGGTGAGTGACAGATGATGGCTATTTATCACTGCTGTCTATTCCACTCCGGATAAATTCTCATAAATGCATCTGGCCCAGTGAATTATTGATTACAAGTATCTGATGTCAGATGGCCTTGTGGTTGTTCTCTCTAGTGAAATATGAGCGGATAAAGTTCCTGGTGATTGCTTTGAAGAATGCGGTGGAAGTCTATGCTTGGGCGCCTAAACCTTATCACAAATTCATGGCCTTCAAGGTAAGTCTCCCCTTTCCCGTGAACTGGATTAGTTATGCGAGATCAGTCAACCAGAAGAGCATTCAAGTTGATTATCTTCTCATGCTCACTTTCTGCTCCTAAACTCCCTCCACTCCTTTTTAATCAGTCTTTTGCAGACCTGCCACACAGGCCTGTCCTAGTCGACCTGACAGTGGAGGAGGGTCAGAGGTTGAAGGTCATCTACGGTTCCTGTGCTGGCTTCCATGCCATCGACGTGGACTCTGGAAACAACTATGACATTTATATCCCTGTTCATGTAAGTTGCATCTGTCAGACATCTGTGTTTTGTGAGATGTGAAACCCACAAGAGCTCATCCCTTCTGTTTTTGTCTCCAACAGATTCAGAGCCATGTGACACCACATGCAATTGTGTTCCTGCCAAGCTCAGATGGCATGGAGATGCTGCTGTGCTATGAGGATGAGGGTGTCTACGTCAACACCTACGGACGCATCATCAAGGACGTGGTCCTGCAGTGGGGCGAGATGCCCACATCTGTTGGTGCGGGTCAAATCTAAAATCAGACTTACATGGATAAAAATGAATGTATCATATGTAAACTGTAATCAGCTTGTCTTGTACTAATATTACATTTTGCCTTGCAGCTCATATCTGCTCAAATCAGATCATGGGATGGGGAGAAAAGGCCATTGAGATCCGTTCTGTGGAGACTGGCCACCTGGACGGTGTCTTCATGCACAAAAGAGCTCAGAGGCTGAAGTTCCTTTGTGAGAGAAACGACAAGGTAAGAGGGATGCCAAAAGAGTGGGACAGTAAGGTCATTAATAGCAGCTGAATTTAGAGATGTTGTTGACACACAAGTCCTTTTGTGTCCGTGATGTTCCTCAGGTGTTCTTTGCGTCAGTGCGCTCCGGAGGCAGCAGCCAGGTGTACTTCATGACCTTGAACAGAAACTGCATCATGAACTGGTGAAGGAACAGCTGCTCTGGTCAGTGTGTGGAACCCAGCAGGGTTTGGAGAAGGAAGTGCATCCGAAATTCTCTCAAAACGCATGCACACAAATGTGAACACCTCTCTATCTTTCTCTCCAGCTCGCTCTCACTCACGCACTCATGCTCTAAAGACACACACTCAACTCTCATAGACAACACACACACATACACAAACACAATCTCTAAATCCATTCCAGCCTACACTACTCCAGATGCAGTTTCTACCGAGGCCCCCTGATAACATTCTCCCTTGAATCATCACAAAAAAAAAATCGCTGATGATCTTCAAATGTTAATACCATCTCTTAATTTCTACTGTGTATATATTCTTGTCTTGATTTACTTGGTGGACCTGTGTTCAGTCGTGAATATTTAGTTCCTCATTGTGAAGTATGTTAAAAACATTCCTTGATGGTTTCTAAAGTACGTTTTGAAGAAGGCATTATTTACCTATACTGTATGTCGAAATGAAGCTGTAAATAGGTAGCACCTTACACTTAGATCACTTAGATCTGAATCATTTGCAGGCCTCATATATATCCTCCACCGGACACATGGACGTCAAATAATAAAATGCTGGAACGTCCATCTGCAGTGGATTCTTTTGGGGCTCCCACAATTTCATGGGGGCTTAAAGGAAGGATTTAGTACAAACAGACCATATTACAAAGGGACACTGAAGTCAGGACAAAGTAGCTTGTTTAAATATTTTTAGTTATCTTTAGTAGACAGTAACCTAAAGTCCTGCTTTCACTGACTTTTTCTGGCCTGTATGGAAAATTGTGTTGCAACTCTTAATCATGGCAAGTAACCATTGAATGCTTTAAAAGCTAAATAAGTTCAGTTTAAAAATGAATAAATATTCAAAATCAATCAGAAGTCTCATAAATGTGCAGTACGCAGAATCAGTACTGTGAAATCTCCTGCTTTGCCTTTTTTTCTATGGTTTATGTGAAACCATCAGGCTTTTTGTTTTCATAGATTTACAAAATACAAAAATTTGTTATTTATATGTAGTGATTCTGTATTGGTATTAGCCTACTGGTATCCTTAATTTTACTGTAATTATATTGCTATTATATTGCAATATACACTATTCTTGTGGAGTCTATGTTTGAAGAGGGGAGTTAATGTGTTTGGCTGGTAGTGTTAGGGAGTATGATGACAACATATGAGGATGTTAGAGAAATGTGGAAGGAGGCGTCTCTGAGATTAAAGTGATTAAGCGAGATCACTTTCGGAGTCCTTTCTACTACAGCGATCTACTCTACTGTATTATATTTCGGTTCTTAGACTATTTGACTAGTGTGGATCTTTTTGTGGGAAGTGTTTATCCAGGGGATTGCAGTAGAACAGCTCTTAGTGTGGTACAGCTCATATTTGTCTTAGGCCAGTGGAAAGATTTAATGTAGGGCGACTCTGCAATACCACAGAGGACTCCATCTCATCAGGCACTTTGGAGCACACGGCTGGAAGACATGAGACTTAATATATTTTATATCTTTACATTCTGCCAAAGTTCACAGCCTATTCTGCAACGGGGGTATTAATCAAGGCCAAAGGGGAGGATTGGGCTTAAATGGCAACTAGAGATTTAAGAAAATCTTCCTATACATCACCAACCAATGTTCCTTTCAGTATATACATCCAAAACGTCAGCTGACCTCTCACTAATATTTTGGTATAATGCTTTATTAGCTGCTTGGGATATTCCCTATAGACTTTCACTCTGTGTGTTAGTTAGTTGTGCATAGTCCCCCCCCCTTTTTTTTTTTTTTTTAAGGGAACTTACTGCCTGCTCTGTTTTGGCAGCTGCCTAGGGGAGATACTGTGCTCCCACATACACCAGGCAGTACGGTAGAAATATGAGGTTATCAGGAAGTAGCTTTGTGATTTTCTGTCAGCAGTGAGTAGGTCAACACATGATTCACTTGGTTATAAGAGCACTGTGCGCCACAGCACTTTAACAGGTGGACATTATAAAGTCAACATCTTTTTTTCTCCACTCTTATCATGCATCTTATCAGCATGGAGTTGTTGGGAAATTTTCAACAAGTTAGTTAATCTGCTTATAAATAAATGCTGACATGATAATGTTAAAAGCTTTAGGATACTATGAAAGGAATCTTGGCTCGTGATCAATGGGATCGTCTGCTAAACGTTGCTTTTTAAGCTATGGAGGTATATTTTATATAGTCAAAAAGAAAGCCATTAAGAATGCAGTGTATGATCAGGGCAGAGAGCGTTTAATCATTATATAAATGGATGGTTAATTTTATGGTGAGATTATAAAACAAACTGTAAATGGAAAGCACTTTCACTTCAGTAAACCTACATTTACAGATATATCTTGAGCAGATACTTTGGTGTGCATGTAAGCCATTGAAATAGAGTATATAGTACTGTATCAAAGTTGTTTTCCCCAAATGTGTTTTTATTCTTAAATATTTGTTATGTGCCATGGCCTACATTTCAAATGTCACAGTTACAATCCACCACAAGCTCTGGCACTCATACTTTTTATGGTCAAATCATAATTTTTTTATCACTCTGCCATGTTTACAGTTTAAGCAGTGCCTTGGAGTTGGGAAGGCGAGAGGTTTAAGGATGGGTTATGAGCCCCCCTCATCCCCACTTGTCTCTTACTTGAAATCACGAAGAAGAGGCACAACTATATTTGCTCCCACGTTAGGATTTCTGTCCTGTGCCAGTTAAGTGCTCTTAAGTCAAATCCAGAATATCCTGTAGATGGACTTGAAATACTTTTTTGGCACCACATAACCTAAAATGATCATCAGAAGATTATCCATTCAGAAAGTTGCAATAACAGATAAGTTAATACATGTCCGAATAATCCAGTGTAACGTCTAAAGGGTTCTACTCGCAGTGGGAGCCAGCATAGAGAAAAGCCATACGTATGAAATGTGTTTGTAGAGAAAACTTGGTACTTGTGCACAGATACAAATTCAACTCTTGTGTGTGATGTCTGCTCAGAAAATGTAGGTTCTTGCAGCAAAGATGAGTTAGGCTTGTTCTTTAAAGGTGTTGATTGTGTAATCTTGTAGTGGGGAAATTAGCTTGATATATTCTGAAAAGCCTATTTTATAAAATATGTAAATTAGTCTATACTGAGAAATAAAAGTGAATGTACATCTATAAGACAGATTTGTATTTATATAAAATGTGTACTGCTCTATTAATCAAAGCACAATGTATTTTAAGGCAGATAGATCAAAGCTATAAGTGTAACAGAGAGATGGAGTTTTTTTTCCTCATTCACTCAGCAGTCGTCAAACTCGTCAGTGTGTAATCAGTCTAAGTAGTTGGTTACAGTGAATCTAGTCTTCTTGTTACCAGAGGAGTCAGCTGTGGCTGCGATTCAGACACTAGTGGTGACTCGCGGATGGGTGTCTGATCTGGCCTCCGGTGTAAATTGCCAACGTTGACAGGCTTTTAATAAGCTCAGGTGATGACAGGATCATCACGCTGGTGGTGAAGGGCGCAGCAATGACCCTGGTGAGGTTATTGGCTCCTGGCTTTGGGATTGTGTATCAAAAGAGACAGCGTTTAGTAAGTAAAATAATCGATCAATTAGTGACGATGGTACAGAATACAGACAAAGACAAATGGTCTGTTATCATTTCTTGACAACTTAAGTTGATGCATTTTTGTCACCAGGTATGAGCGTTCTTAAAGGGGAACTCCACCGACTTAGTTTAGCACTTCTGTAACATAGTGGGACTTAAGATGGACAGTTTAATTTTAAGAAAAGTGTCAAAAGCGATATATAGATTTTTTTTTATTCCAACAATCAAGCAATCTTTCTTGTGAAAATCTGGCACTTACATTACCCACAATGCAACTTGGCTGCTGGCGGTTCGGTCGGAGTTCTGCCTGTGTTATGCTAGTAGCGGCTAATGTAGCCTCTAGCATCAACAAGGGATGAGGAGCGGACTGAAGAGGTCTGGTAAGCCAACGCTGACCAGCACTGCCTTAAGTGACATCACATGAGGCAATGTATCGGACCTCTGGAGCCACAAAACACTTTACCCAACATTTTTCATACATGCAGTAGTACTTACTACGAGTACCAAGACCTGTAAACATACTTTGATATGTCCAATCAGCGGAGTTCTCCTTTAATACACATACTTGCATTATATAACATTTACTTTGAATACTTAACTGCATTTGTACATCGGCTGTGGTGCACAAGCTTAGTGTGGCACATCACATTACTTCATTTGCAGTTCAATAGGATAAAATGTCTAAAGTACACAGGAGATAGCGGTTCATTACCATAGAATTTATTTAATCATCATCATCTTTATTGCCTGATTTGTGTTGACAGTTGTTTTTTCTGGATAGCATTGCAAGTAAATTATTTGACTATTTTAAGAAAACCCTTATTTTACACATTAAACTGATTTTAAAAACGAGCTCCAAGCTCAAAATCATAACTAATGCCTTGTGATAAATATCTGCCTGATTGGGGCAGTCACTTCTAAATATTAAACTAGTTGTCTAATTTCATGCAGCAGACATTCTTATAATGGGTTGCAGTTTGTAACACAGAAGAGTAGTTCTGGTTGTTGACTTCCATAAAAGCACCTTAAGGTGTCAAAGTGCTATTTCATTTTGTGCCAAGAGCCATTAAAAGACCTGAACCTCACAACTCATTAGTTTTAGGGAAACTTTGTGTGAGTCTGACCACAAGCATGAACACATTTGATTGCTGAATTTGTCTAACTGCACAAAGTTTGTCATCAGAAAAACAGAGGCACCACTGAGTCGTCGGTGGAGCGCTGAAGGTGTAGAACATCGTCCTGAGAGACAGTCGTCCAGTCGGATGATGACACTTCTTTTTAATAAGCAATACAAGCATTTGAACAAATCAAAACCATAGCTGTCCATGTCAGTGTGACTTGCAGGAAGTGATCCTTCAGTGGCCTTTGGCAGACTGAATGTAGGCTGGTTTGTGTGTCGCTTGTTACAGAAATCACTCTGTACTTTACTTTTGCTTGAAATCTGGAGAAATAACTGCTTCTCTGTAAATCACCGTTTGGGATGCTTGTTCTTGTTTTGCTGTAATGAAATCCCAGAAACTGCCTTTATGAACTTTAAGTATCAAAATAAATATATATATATATATATATAATATATATAATTCTGATGAGGCACTCCTCTCGCATAGCTTACATTTCTAATCAATGACGTATGAATGGATTAGCAGCTGTAACTGGGAGTGAGGCAGATCAAATTTGGGGAGCTCTAAAACGACATGGATCTTTGGACTGAACTACAATATCTATTATTCTTTTTTCAATAACTTTTTTTTTTTTAAGACGGTAAACATCTTTGCAATGTTTTAGTGTGTGTGCGCGCGTCTGTGTTACTTGTGAGAGGTTAACTCCAGATTGTATTTCATAGACTGATAAACTTTAAACTTTCAAAAAATTGTGTTGAATGAATTCATGTCTTAATACAGAATTGTTTGAAAAATAAAATACCTTGATCTCATTTGAGTCTGTATTAGTCGTGTTTCATTTCTTCGTATTCTGACAAGTATCAATTTAAATTTCGATCTACATTTCTTTGAAATATTATTACTGGGTGGCTGAGTTTGACTCTCCAAAATAATTGTTTCCATTTTTCCATTGTAATTTTAAAGGCCCTGTATGCCCTCAGAGGAGTTTTCAGTTACTGTGGCGGATTAGATCTTTGCTCAGGCTGAAGGTAAGCAGAGCTGTGCTGGGATTACGTAAGGCAACTGGACTTCCATGTACTAATAATAAAGAATGATAAAGGTTTAATTTGTCCAACCCTAACAGGTGCAACAACGGTAAAAGGAGAGTGAAGGACGTGTCAATCAAACACTGAGTACACGCCCACACAGTACTGAGAAGAGGCCTAATTAGGCAGAGTGTGTGCAGTGCCTTTAACCACATCCTCTGAACATGTGAAATAAAATGTATACCGGTGTTAAAACCACAAGGTGGTGCTACAATCCGACCTGTTGTCCCTGTCATTGGATTTGTGCTACAATATGACACTACTTTGAAGAAAGTCATAATTTTCTCTTCAGTTTGTTTTTCATTGATATGCCATTAAATGATTTGCCTTTAAAGATATCTTTTGCAGGATAAACCTTTCATCCTTATTCTGTGAACCTGAATTTGCCAAATTAACTGCAGCACCCTCTGGTGGCTGAAGGTAAAAACACACTTGGATCTGTATGACAGATCTCAGTTGAACTTCAATCAGCATATAAAGAAAACATAAATTGAACCTCTCGGACCTGAATTATAGCCTGTTGACACTGAGTAATAAATAAAGATATCAAATGACATTGCTGTGACCTGAGCACAGAAGACTTCTTTATTTCTACTTGCACAGTAGAAACAGAGCATAATATTTCATTGGTGATTTTAGAGTTTCTTTCCACACATTTCTGATTAAATAGGTTACCGGGTTTGCTGTGGGGAAGTACTACCATTGCATCCCCACACAGGTGTAATAAATAGGATAGTAAATCGGGTGGTTTTCAGATCACTAAGGAGCAAACTTTGTATGTGGGTCATTTTGTGGCACCATTTGCCAGAACATACTGTTACTAATGGTTAGCCTTAATCAGAAAAAAATGAGTGAATTCTTAAACAATTAAGCATCAATCAATTAAAATGTTTCTTAGAGATTCCTAAAAGCATCTTTTCAATTATGTTTGTGATGAATATCAAAACAACCTAGAATTTGTGGTAAAGTGTACCTAGGCTATTTCGAGTTGATCACCTTTTAAGTGTATGAATAAAATGTTCCATTGTCTTCGACACAGTGCTTTAAAAAAAAAAGAAACCACAATAACTGGCAGGAGAGCTTATTATTTATTAATATTATGTACAAGTATACCATCGTAATGTCCAGATAATACACTGACAAAGTCAAAGTATGAATACTGGCTCCTGCTTTATTAAGATGTGTCTTATAATGCTTTTATTTTTTACCCACCTTCTGAATCTTCTGATTTTTTTTTTGTTAATTTAAACTTTATCAATATTCTCTATTAATAATCCTTAAAGTGTATCTGAGGCACACAGGGAGAACATGAATAAAATAAGTGTAAAAAAACTGAATAAAACAAAAACTTAAGAACAGATGCACTGTACTGTATGTGGGGGTACATATCTATAAAAACAGTGACTACATGATGTTTTGAGCCAGATGAAAATAAGAGTTGATATTTTCCTTGGACTCTGTCCATCGTCGGCACATCCTGTCTGTCAGTGGTTATTTGTTTTTCAGTATTAATGAACTCTCACATAATTCTCTTCTACGACCGTTCTTCCTTCACATTAGCATCACTGAGATACGTGTGGTACCGAGACAAAAATAGCACAGAAAAATTTGTCTGAAGTGCATTTTGGACTTCATTGTAAACAAAGACAGAATTGTCCAATAACGTCTTCTCCCCTGTTTAATGCGAGGAGCAGTGTCTCTCAGGAAAAAGTGTGTGTGTGTGTGTGTGTGTGTGTGTGAATGAGCGTGTTAGACATGTTAAAAGGCTTCAGGTAATAGTGGCATTTGTGTTTTTATTTGAGCAGCTGAAGATCCAACTGTATTTGGTCACATTTTTACATTAACAGATCATATGTGTGTGTTTGCGTGTGTGTGTGTTTGCGTGTGT